ATCATTCACTTCTCAAAGAGCTGGCCAGTGAAAACCTTATGAATAGCAGTGAAACACTGTCTGATATATTACTGGAAAACTTTATGAATAGCCCTGAAACATTATCCAATATAGTGCCAGAAGATGAACCCCTCAGGTCAGAAGGCACTGAAAGTACAACTGGGGAAGAGCTGCCTCCTCAGAGTAGAGCCAACCTTAACGATGTGGATGGAGTAAAGCTTTTGGGACCTCCATTTGCTGATGTGGCATGACTCAAAATAGGAAGAAACAGCTGCAAACATCCATTAATAATCAGAACATGGAATGTATGAAGTATGAATCTAGGAAAATTGGAAGTTGTAAAAAATGAAATGGAACATATAAAGATCGGTATCCTAGGCATGCATATGAGGTGATTGAAAACATCATGGCTTGGGTTAGGCACACCTGAGTCGTCAAAGTGACATCTTTGCTCTTTAACACTGTAAAGAGGTCCTTTGCAGCAGAAATGACCAATGCAATACATCATTTGTTTTCTTGACTGCTGCTTCCATAGGCGTTAATTGTGGGTCCAAGTAAAATGAAATAATTGACAACATCAATACTGTTTTCTTTTATTATGATGTTGCTTCTTGGTCCAGTTGTGAGGATTTTTGTTTTCTTTACATTGATGTGTAATCCATACTAAAGCTGTAGTCTCTGATTCATCAGTTAAGTGCTTCAAGTCTCATTCACTTTCAGCAAGCAAGGTTGTGTGATTTGCATATCATAGGTTCTTAATGAGTCTTCCTCCAATCTTGATGCTGCATTCTTCTTCATGTAATCCAGTTTCCTGGATTACTTGCTCAGCATACAGATTGAATAAGTGTAGTGAAACGATACAAGCCTGACACAAACTTTCCTGATTTTAAACCATCCCCTTGTTCTGTTCAAACAACTGCCACTTGGTTTATATACAGGTTCTTTATGAGCACAGTTAAATGTATTGGAATTCCTAGGTGCTCTGGTGGCATAGTGCCCATGGCATTTGACTGCTAACCAGAAGGCTGATGGTTCAAAGCCACCAGCCACTCCTAGGAAAGAAGACTGGGCAATCTACTTTCACAAAGATTTACAGCCTTGGAAACCCAATGGGTTCACTATGAGTCAAATTTGACTCAATGGCAGTGAGTTTGGTTTTGTTTCTGGTTTATTCTTCTCAGTATCCATGCAGTCGAGTGCATTTACATACTCTATAAAACACAGGTAAACATCTTTCTGGCATTCTCTACTTTCATCCAAGATCCATCAGACATTAGCAATGACATCCCTCATTCCATGGCCTCTTCTGAATCTGGCTAGAATTTCTGGCAGTTCCCTCCTGATGCAATGCTACAACCACTTTGAATAATTTTCAGCCAACTTTGAGTGTGCTATGAATGGTATTGTTCAATGATCTCTGCATTCTGTTGGATCACCTTTCTTTGAAGTGGACACAGATAGGGATCTCTTCCATATCTGTGTCTTCACAGATATGGATCTCTTCCATATCTGTGTCTTCCAAATTTTTTAGCATAGATGAGTGAGCACTTCCAGCATTACATCCATTTGTTGAAGCACCTCCATTGTAGTCTGTTGATTCCTGGAGCCTTGTTTTTCCCCAATGTCTTCAGTGCAGCTTAGACTTCTTCCTTCATTACCATCAGTTCTTGACCATATGCTAACTCCTGGAAATGGCTGAATGCTGATAAACTCTTTTTGGCACAGTGAAGGTATGTATTCCTTCTATCTTCTTTTGATGCTTCTTGTGTCATTCTATATTCTGCCCGTAGAATCTTTCAATATTGCTACTCAAAGCCTGAATTTTTCTTTCATTTCTTTTGGCTTGAGAAATGCCAAGCATGTTCTTCCCTTTTTTGTTTTTGCACCTTGCATTATACTTTATCTTCTTTAGCCACTCTTTGAAATCTTAGTTCAGCTATTTTACTCCATCATTTTTTTCCTTTCACTTCAGCTACTTTGCATTCAAGAGTAAGTTTCAGAGTCCCTTCTGACAAAGAGTAAGTTTCAGAGTCTCTTCCGACATTCATTTTGGTGTTTTCTTTCTTTTCTGTCTTTTTAATGACCTTTTGCTTTCTTCATGTTCTTGTTGTCTGGTCTTTGGTCATTAGTGTTTCTTACATCAAATCTATTCTTCAGATAAACTCTAAATTCAGGTGGGATATACTCGAGTTTTTACTTTGGCTCTCATGGACTCAGTTTTCTTCAGCTTCCTTTTGAACTTGAATAAGTGCAACTGATGGCCTGTTCCACGGTCAGCCCCTGACCTTATTCTGACTGATGATACTGATGTTCTTCATTCATATCTTTCCATAGATACAGTCAATTTGATTCCTGTGTATTCTATCCGGCGAAGTCTGTGTGTATAGGCACCATTTAAGCTGAAAAAGGTGGTTGCAATGAGTAAGTAGTTGGTTTTGCAAAATTCTGTCATGTGATCTCCAGGGTAGTTTCTATCACCAAGGCCACATATTCCAATACTGATTCTCTTTTGTTTTCAACTTTTGCTTTCCAATCACCAGTAGTTATCAATGCATCTTGATTGCACATTTGATGAATTTCAGACTGCAGAACTTGTTAAAAATCTTCAATTTCTTCATCTTTGGCATTAGCAGTTGATGAACAAATTTGAGTAACAGTCATATTAGCTGGTCTTCCTTGTAGGCATATAGATATTATCCTATCACTGACAGCACTGTACTTTAGGATAGATCTTGAAATGTTCTTTTTGATGATTAATGTAACACTGTTCCTCTTCAATTTGTCATTCCTAGCATAGTAGACCATGTGATTGTCTTATTCAAAATGGCCAATACCAGTCCATTTCAGCTTACTAATGTCTAGGATACTGATCTTTATGTGTTACATTTCATTTTTGACAACTTCCAATTTCCCTAGATTCATACTTCATACCATGTTCTGATGATTAATGAATGTTTGTGGTTGTTTTTTTTTTTTTTTCTAATTCTGAGTCATGCCACACTTGCAAATGAAAGTCTTGAAAGCTTTACTTCATCCATGTCCATGTCATTAAGGCCGACTCTACTTTGAGGAGGCAGCTCCTCCCCAGTCATTTTTCAAGTGCCTTCCAACCTGAGGGGTTCATCTTCCACACGCCATCAGACAATGTTTTACTGCTATACATAAGGTTTTCACTGGCCAATTTTGGGGGAAGGAGATCACCAAGCCCCTCTTCCTAGTCCGTCTTAGTCTGGAAGTTCCACTGGAACCTGTGCACTATGGATGACCCTGCTGGCATTTGAAACACCAGTGGCTAGCTTCCAGCATCACTGCAAGCCACCACAGTACGACAAACTGACAGATGAGTGGTGTGGTGTTCGATACACCCTTGTAAACAGAATAATAGATAAATTACAGGTTTACATTCATTGTGATTTTAGTTTTTCAAGGACACTAAGGAAATCATCATAGTTATTTCCATTTTTCCCTCAAGGCTGATTTTCTCCCCTCTACCCTACAATGAAGGCACTCCGGTGGTACAGTGTCTAAGACACTTGACTGCTAACCAGAAGACTGGAGGTTCAAACCCACTAGCCACTCTGTGGAAGGAAGGGACAATCTACTTCTATAAAGATTTACCACCTTGGAAACCCAATGGGATCACTATGAGTTGGAATCAACTTGATGACAGTGAGTTGGTTTGATTTTGATTTACCCTGCAATGGGAATAGGGTATGGGGCCTCTGTGGCTTCAGAATCCCCTGGTTGGCTCCTGGTCCTAGTCTAGAAAAGCCGCAGGTTCCTTCTGGCTTTCTAAAGAGCTGGAGGACCTTCTTCCCATCCAGTGAGCAAGCTAGGCAGTTTCGTCTGGCTTTTGTCCAAAGCAACATACCCAAGTGGCTCACTTTCTACTTGTCAAGAGGAGTCCCTCGCTTGAGGTGGGACGGAGAGTATAAGAGGCCAACACTTGTGACCTGACTAAACAAGGAAGGTGTTCCCTTGTGAGGAAACATCCTGTTTTTCTGTAGTTGTTGGACCTCTTATCTCCTCTGACCTCTCAACATTCCTGAAGTGCCATTCACCAGATAAGCTTAACAAGCCTCAGGGGCATGAGAGGTTTCCCCAAGGTCACATAGGCACACATATGGTTCTGCCCTTGACAACTTCATACTCTATGTGGGAGAACGCAAGACTTCCAAATCTTGGCCCATAATCTTCAGAAGGGTCTACCTTCATCCAAGGCCAGTGCTGCCACAGACTGACCCAGGAGGTGGTGGTATGGTGAGACCTATTCAAGATTTGGGCCAGAATGTCTGTCGTCTAACTATGTCCAGAATACCGACCCCTGGGGGAGCTGCCTGAAAGTCTCATTGCTTCAGGGGCCAACAACTGCCGGTACCTGAAGACGGAATAGTCACAAGTTTCAGCCTTTAAATCATGTGCATTACGGATAAACTCAGGCTCTCTTCTGGAGCATAAGCTGGTTGAGAACAGGGAATAATGTCTAGCACATAGTTGTTGCGGTTCTTAGATTCCACTGAATCAGCCCCCAACTCGTAGCAGCAACCCATGCACAATGGGATTGGATTATTGTCATTCTATATGGTTTTCATTGGCTGATTTCTCGAAACTAGATAGCCAGGCCTTTGTTTCTAGTCTATCTTACTCTGGAAGACATGCTGAAACCTATCCAGCTACCTAGCAACATACAAGCCTCCACTGGTGCTTAATAAATATACAATCAATGAATTTCGTGAGTCTGGCTGGGGGCCCACGGGGGTAGGAAGGAGGATACAGTGGCCAGAGGGGCTAAATGCATACAATTAGGGATGCTTCCTGCTTAGATCCTAAAGCCTCACTATGGGATTCTGGGTGCTCTGCTCGGTGGCCTATCTACACCTTGGCGATCTAGGGCCAGATGATCAGAAGCACCTGGAATCAGGACCCCTGTCTCACCTCTGAGTACGCCAAGGTACCATGCCTGCCCTGGCCCCTCTCCCACTCCTCAGGCCAGGTCTCACCTGGGAGATGTGGGACTGCGTCTTCTCGCTTTCGCCGTCACCCTCCGTCTTGTCAGCCAGCAGCCCCTGCACCTGGTACTCAAGTACGTAGCTGTCGATGAAGCGCTCTAGCTCCTCAATCTCCTGGGAGCGGCTGCTCCCAGCCTCAGAGGAAGCTGATGCTGCCGAGGAGTTTTCCATCATTCCAGCTCAGGGGCCTGGGATGGGGCTGGTGGAGAAGAACAAACAGGCTCCGTGAGACTCCGCTGGGGGTGAGGACAAGGCCTCCCATTTGTGAACTACTTCCCGTCTCTGGAAGCAGTTTTACACCCATCATGGCAGTGTGTTCTCCCAGCAACCATGAGAAGAAGGTAAGACACCAGTGCATCCTTAGTGTAAAGAATATCCCCAAATTCCCACTGTGTGGGGAGGGAAATAGGCCCAGAGAAGGCAGGTACCACAACGTGCCTAGGTGACCAACACAGTAACGTGTGGCAGTGTTAGGCACTATAAGGTCTACTAAGATCGGGAGATGATTTGGGGGGCTTCTGATCCAATCACATGAACCCTTTAAATCTAGGATGAGAGGTCAGAGTTGGAGGAAGTTGGAGATTTGAAGCATGAGAAAGAATCAGTGTGATATTGCTGGCATGGAGATGGAGGGGCCCCTGTGGCAAGGCATGTGGGCAGCCTGTAGGAGTTAAAAGCAATCCCTCATCAACAACCAAAAGGAAACAAGACTCTCAGTCCTACAACTGCTAGAAAGTAAATTCTGCCAAGAACCTATGAGTTTAGAAGTAGATTTCCTCCCAGAGGTTCCAGATAAGAATTCGGTCTGGCCAACACCTTGATTTCAGCCGTGATAGACCATGCAAGATGTGTGACATACAGAACTGTGAGAAGACATAAGGTATCATTTTAAGTCACCTGGTTTGTGATAATGTGTATTTTGGTTACCTAGTGCTGCTCTGACAAGAATATACCATAAATGGGATGGCCTTAACAAACAGGAGTTTATTCTCTTATAATTTGAAGGCTTTAAGTTCAAGTTCAAAGTGCCAGGCTCTAGAGGCTGGGTGAAAGCCCCTCAGCCTTGGGGTTCAGCTCTGCCTCCAGCTCCCAGCCCACTGAAGCTAGAGGCTTTTCTCCACTCAGACAGCTGCTAGCTGCTGAGGCTGCCAAGCCCAAGGTTGACAAGTAAAAAGGCACAGTCCCAATGTTACCAAAGTACACGGCAAGCCATTAATTCAAGTCCATTTTAAGTTCCCAGGTCGGCAGAACATGACAGGCTGCTGAACAATGATGGCACGGCTACATGCAGGGTCCAAGTGTGCCATAAGCTAGAGATTATCCCCAAGGCTTCTCCTTATATACAGGAAACAGACCACATCCCAAAGGCAGCTACTCAGCTGTTTGTGGTAGATCCCACCATGGAGTTGATTGCCAGTCTCATCACGGGGAATAACTACCACCAGCTGCCCAGCCACTCAACCAGGCCCAGCCAAGCTGACACACAAATTGAACGACCACAACGTGCTGCACAGCACTAGAAAACTAACACGTATGCTCTTTCCTGTCTCTGGGCTCTTGCTCACTCTGTGCCCCTCACCCACAAGACACCTTCCCTTGCCCTCCACCTACCAAATCTAGAGGTGCTTACACTCCCAAATGCTAGAACTGTGCCTTACAAGCCATCAGGCAACTAATCCAATCCCCGGGTCTAATGGTGGGCTAATAGGCAAAGGGGAGTCCTGAGGTAATGTAAATGGTTAACGTGCTCAAGCTACAACCAAGAAACACCTTGTGGGAGAGGCCTAGTGATTGACATCTGAAAAATGAGCCACTGTGGACACCGTTTTATTCTCACACACCGTACTGTTGCCACTGAGTCGATTCTGACTCATAGCAACGCTACAGAACACAGCAGAACTGCCCCATAGGATTTCCAAGGCTGAAATCTTTGCGGAGAAGGATATCATGCTTGGTAAAGTGGAGGGTCAATGAAAGAGGGGAAGGCCCTCAACAAGATGGATTGACATGGTGGCTGTAATGATGGGTTCAGATATAGTAGGGATCGTGAGATTGGCACAGGACCAGGCAGTGTTTCGTTCTGTTATACACAGGGTCGCTATGAGTCAGAGACGACTTGACAGCATGTAACAACAACAGTCTTTATGGAAGCATGTTGCCACATCTTTTTCCCATGGAGCTGTTGGTGGGTACGAACTGCTGACCTTTTGGTTAGTAGCCAAGTGCTTAACCACTGTGCCACCAGGGCCCCTATATATGGGATTGCAATGCGTTGGTGCCAACTAGCTGGCTACTGTTTAACAGGCAAAAGATTCCCCAGTGTTGGCCTATGGATAGGAATACTGTGACTTCTACTAGTAATATGAACCACTCAGGTTTACTGAACTCTTATCATGTGCCAAGCATCCTTCTTAGCCCTTGATATGCCTTAACCTACTAAACCTTTACAATTGTTGTTGTTGTTATATGCCGTGGAGTTGGCCCCGACTCATAGTGACCCCTCCTTGGGTTTCCGAGGCAGTATTACTATGGAAGTAGACTGCCCCATCTTCCTTCCGAGGAGTGGCTGGTGGGTTTGAATCTCCAGCCTTCTGGTTAGTAGTCAAGTGCCTTAGGCACTACGTCACCAGAGCTCCCAAACCTTTACAACAGCCCTATGAAATAGGTGTGATTATATTACTTAGAAGGAAAAACAGAGGTTCAGAGAAGTTAAGTAACTTGCCTAAGTTCACACAGCAGAGCTCTAGGCTTGCATGATTCCAGCTATCACTTCATCTATCCTCTACTGCCTCTTTTTCAGTCCCACCCCTGGCAGTCTTTCCTACTTAGGCCCCCAGGGCAACTCTCCAGCCCCAGGTTCTCCACTGCACTTCCAAGAGCAGTTCTCTGTCAGTGTTGTGTGTGCCAGCATTCCAAATAGGCTAGGAGCTCTGAGGGCTGGGCCCCATGCCTGTGCCTAGCTCAGTGCTGGGCCCTGGGCAGGCAGCTTCAGCTAGATGGGACTGATGAGGACAGTCCAGGGAGGGCTGAAAGCAGTCGCCTGCAGGCAAAGTCAGCACCCAGAGCTGCGCCCAGTATTCCTCGAAGACTTAAGATCTTATCAAGGGTTCCTGGCACACTTGGCAGGTGCAGTCACAGGACTGGGTTTTGCAGGAACTCGACCCAGAGCAGTTTCCAGGAGGACTGAATGCCTCACTCTGCCTCTGCCCCACTCTGTCAGGGCTCCCTTGGGGGGGCCACACAGTGGTCCTGGAGGGAGCCTGGGCAGAACAGTCACCTCCAATTCACACTAGTGCACCAGGAAGAGGGAGACATACTGAGACCCACTCCAACTCAAAGGGACACTGGCTACATGTCTTGGACGTCTCTTGTGTCCTCACACCCTCTCAGCCCACCACCTCCTCCACTGGTTGCCGCCCTATCAGATCCACGCAGTGTAACCTGACAGCACTTCACCTCAGCTGCCCTGAGTGCCTCTGCCCAGGGCTCCTCTGACACATACGGTGAAACATACCCACCTGGCACTGAGGTCCTGCACCTGAAAGTGGGAGGAGTTAATATCCCATGGAGCAACCCTTGAGAATGGACTGACTCAGTTGCTAACCAAAAGGTTGGAGGTTGGAGGCACCTTGCAAGAGAGGCCTGGTGATGGACTCCTGAAAAGTCAGCCATTGAGAATCCCTTGGAGCTCAGCTCTACTCTGATACACGAGCGGCTGCCATGAGAGTCGATTCCATGGCAATGAGTTTTGGTCTCTCAGGTCACAACTCTGAGGCACATTCTACATGGTCCCTCAGTGGGTCCCAGAGATGGAGCCTTAGGGGCCGGCAGTGATGACCAGACCCAGAACACCCCCTCCCCGGGTTTTGCGCCTCTCCAGTTTTCCTCTCCTGGACCTCCAGTTCCTGGAACACTTCCCAAATAAACTCCCTTCACACAAGCCCTGACTTGGGCTCTGCTGTCAGAGAGGCAACCAGGCTGCCACACCACTTGTACATTCCAGAAGGAGTCCCACTCAGAGAACTGAGAGCCCTCTCCTGCAGCAGGTGGGGAAGATTCAGTCAGGGCAGGAGGGGGGAGGAGGGAGGCAGCCCTCACCTACTCCCTGTCCATCACCACAGCCACAAGGCAGGCAGCCAGGGCTCCCTCAGCCACCTCTGGCCCCATTTTAAGAAGTGTGAGGAGCAGAGTGGAACTCCCTGGCTGTGGAGACAGAGGGAATAGGAAGCTTTCCTCAGGGCATTTCACCTCCTTCCCATCTGCACCTTTGGGTGTCTACGCCTGGGCTCAGTTTCTCATTCACAGAAAGATCTGGAGGGAAATCCCCCAAAGCCCCAGCTGGGCTGGCTGCTGGCTAAGCACAGCGAGCAGGAGGAGAGTTGCTCACGTTTTAATGAAAGTGAAGGAGGAGGGGACTGGGGGAGAAGAATGTGAATGGAAGAGAAGAGAGCATTCAGCAGCGGCGGCAGGACACACAGTAAGGTGCACGCGCGGGGGCGCAGAGCAGCGCACAGCAAGGCCTCTCTCCCAGGGCCGCCCCTCCGCCGCCTCCTCTGCCTGCAGGGTGATGGATGAGGAGGAACAAAAAGACAAGACGGCAGGTGGAAGGAAATCGCTGAGGCCGTACTTCGCTGTAAAGGGCACCAAAAAGGCGGGCAGTTCCCCAGCCTGCAGGCGGCAAGGCTTAAATGGCACTGGTCTATGGCAGGTCACCGAGGAGCCAGGCCCCAGGACTGAGCCGGGAAAACGCCTTTGCCTCTGCAAAGAGGACATTCAGCTGGGCACAGCAACCCAGACTCCATTTATCACTGTCTGTGGAAAAGGAACTAGCCCTGGTGGCGCAGTGGTTAAAGCGCTCTGCTGCACCCAGCCACTCCACGGGAGAAAGATGAGACAATCCGCTCCACAAAGATTTGCAGAGTTGGAAAGCCTAGTGGGCAGTTCTACTCTGTCCATAAGATGGGACTCCTGCAGTTGTTTGGTTAAGGGAAAAGGGAGGGAGTTCCTGGGTGGTGTTAACCAAAAGGTTAGAGGCTTGAGTCCACCCAGAGGAGGCACGGGAGAAAGGCTTCGTGGTCCACTTCTGAAAAATCAGTTCTATCCTGACACACATGAGGCCGCCATGCCTCAGAATGGACAGGATAGCAACTTGTTTGCGGTTTTGTTTGGGTGAAAAGGACGGTCCATGCTCCCCACCAA